ACAATCAAGCAATGCAATGCAATGATATGGGTGCAATGATGAAGTGGTATTTTTCATTGTTATCAGCTGTAATTGATTTTGAAAAAGACCGATGAACATATCTGAGAGCTAAATGTACGAACTACTGAGAGCTACAAATCCGTAAGAATAAATTTATTGGGAAACGGAAACATTATGTCTAGCACACTTTAGAATGACATCTAGCGAGCAAAATTACTAAGAACAGATCATGCAAGATCAAACAACTTCATGGTTTTCACGAATCATTCTCACCATAGCCTTGAGTAACCAGAGCTAACAGCTTGATGACCGAGCAGTTCTACTAGATTAACACACAAGCTATTGAGCAAACTCGCAAGGCAAAGCTAGCAAGAATCACCAGGCGGAGGCAGGAGCGAAATTCACCTGCGTGGCTTGTGGTAGGCGGGGTTGAGCTCGCCAATGTCTGTGCGCAGGGGGCTAGGGGCGGGGGGGCGGGGCGAGCTGCGTGTCGTCGACTGGCGGGCGAGGCGTCGGGGTGGTGGGAGCGCGGGCCGGAGTCTCGTCGTCGTCGGCGTGGGGGGTTGGCGCCGGGTGCGGACGTCGGCGCTAAGCACGGAAGCCGGAGCTCTGCGTCGTCGCAAGACGCGAGGTGTCAAGGGTGGGGGGAAAGTGGGCCTGGTGTGGGTGGGGTGAGGCGGGACCCATGATGACAGGGCAAGGCGTCGTCTCGTTTAAGGTGGTAAAGTGTTTGAGTGTGTGTGTGTGCGGCCTGGTGCGGGACTTGGGGTGGTTACGAGGGAGGTTTGGCGAGTGCCCGTGATCTAGCACTCGGTAAACCCCCGTTTTGTTTTGTTTTTCATTTTCAAACCTAAATGACTGCGCGTGTGTGGGGCCCATAAAGCTGTTCGTCGAGTGTCCCAGTTCTTAGACTCGGCAAACTACAGGTTTACCGAGTGCTAGATCGTGGGCACTCGGCAAACCCGTTTTATTTTTTTTCAATTTTCAAATCCTAAACTACTGCGCGTGTGTGGGGTCCGTGAAGCTGTTTGCCAAGTGTCCTAGGTCTGACACTTGGCAAACACCATGTTTGCCGAGTGCCATCGTAGGGACACTCGGCAAAGTTCATAAACTTATTTTTTTCAATTTTCTTCTTTTCCATAGCGTGTTTTCCTTAATTTGTTCTGATATACTTTGAAAATACCTTCTCAAATTCACTAAACAATATATATTTGATTTTTCTAGAAAAAGTTTCAAGGTCAAGAGTGAAAAAAACTTATTATTTCATGCAGTTGTAGCTCAAATTCAATGTAAATCAATTAAAATTTTATAATTGCACTTAATAAATTAAAATTATCAAACGGATATAAATAATTATTGAAATTACACATGAATCAATCTATGTTCTCTATTGCCTATACAAAAAGTTTTAAAGTCAAATCCAATTTGACCGTCACTTTGACTTCAAATCTTACTGAATCCTTCTCAACGCCACGATTCTTCTTCTGAGATATTTCGATTTGTAAACATCGTACGTGACAGATTATGCAAAATCTACTCAATTTTTTACCACAGCCTCCACGTATGATATCATGAGATCTTGACAAATCTCATGATTTTCAGACTTCGTTTGTTTTTTAAGAATTTAAAAACCATTCGGCCACACGTTCGTGGTCGGGTTTCGTGAACAAGATGTTCAAAATTTCCTTTCATTTCTCGGATAAGGCCTCACACGGGACTCAATAACATGAATATCATTTTTCTACTCATTTTATTATATTATTTGAATCACTTGCAGTTCAAATTTGACTTATACCAAAAAATTCTTTAAAGGCAATAAATTAATTAAATATAGCAAACAGATCTAGAAATATACCAAATCTTAACATGGAGTACCACATGTTGTATGTGGAGAGTAGAAAAAGTTTCAACGTCAGGAGTGAAAAAAACTTATTATTTCATGGAGTTGTAGCTCAAATTCAATGTATATCAATTAAAATTCTATAATTGCACTTAATAAATTAAAATTATCAAACAGATGCAAAAATTTACTAAAATTACATATGAATCAATCTATGTTCACTATTGCCTATACAAAAAGTTTTGAAGTCAAACCCCAATTTGACCGTCACTTTGACTTCAAATCTTATCGAATCCTTCTCAACGCCACGATTCTTCTTCTAAGATACTTCGATTTGTAAACATCGTACATGACAGATTATACGAAACCTTCACAATTTTTACCACAGCCTCCACATATGATATCATGAGATCTTGACAAATCTCATGATTTTCAGACTTCGTTTATTTTTTTAAGAATTTAAAAACCATTCGGCCATACGTTTGTGGTCGGGTTTCATGTACATGATGTTCAAAATTTCCTTTCATTTACTGGATAAGGCCTAACACAGGACTCAATTAAATGAATATTATTTTTATACTCATTTTATTATATTATTTGAATCACTTGCAGTTCAAATTTGACTTATACCAAAAAATCCCTTTAAAAGCAATAAATTAATTAAATATAGCAAATGGGTCCAGAAATATACAAAATTTTAACATGGAGTACCACATGTTGTATGTGGAGAGTAGAAAAAGTTTCAAGGTTGGGGGAAGAAAAAAACTTATTATTTCATGCAGTTGTAGTTCAAATTCAATGTATATCAATTAAAATCCTATAATTGCACTTAATAAATTAAAATTATCAAACAGATAAAAAAAATTACCAAAATTACACATGAATCAATCTATGTTCTCTATTGCCTATACAAAAATTTTGAAGTCAAACCCTAATTCGACCGTCATTTTGACTCCAAATCTTACCGAATCCTTCTCAACACTATGATTCTTCTTCTAAGATACTTCAGTTTATAAGTATTGTACATGACATATTATGCAAAATCTTCTCAATCTTTTACCATGGCCTCCACATATGGTATCATGTGATCTTGACAAATCTCATTATTTTCAGACTTTGTTTGTTTTTTTTAGAATTTAAAAACCATTCGGCCACACGTTTGTGGTTGTGTTTCCTCAACAAGATGTTCGAAATTTCTTTTAATTTCCTGGGTAAGGCCTTACACCAGACTCAATAATATGAATATCATTTTTATACTCATTTTGTTTTATTATTTGAATCACTTGCAGTTCAAATTTAACTTATACAAAAAAATCCTTAAAAAGTAATAAATTAATTAAATATAGCAAACGGATCCAGAAATATACCAAATCCTAACATGGAGTACCACATGTTGTATGTGGACAGTAGAAAAAGTTTCAAGGTCAGAGGAGAAAAATAACTTATTATTTCATGCAGTTATAGCTCAAATTCAATTTATATTAATTAAAATTCTATAATTGCACTTAATAAATTAAAATTATGGAACGGATCCAAAAAATTACTAAAATTACACATGAATTAATCTATGTTCTCTATTACCTATACAAAAAGTTTTGAAGTCAAACCCCAATTCGACCGTCACTTTGATTCCAAATCTTACCGAATCCTTCTCAACGCTACGATTCTTCTTTTGAGATACTTTGGTTTGTAAACATCATACGTGACAGATTATGCAAAACCTTCTTAATTTTTTACCTCAGCCTCCACATATGATATCATGAGATCTTGACAAATCTCATGATTTTTAGACTTTGTTTGCTTTTTATAGAATTGAAAAATAATTCGGCCACATGTTTGTGATCGTGTTTCGTGAATAAGATGTTTGAAATTTTCTTTCATATCCCGCATACGGCCTCACACTAGACTCAAGAACATGAATATCATTTTTCCACTCATTTTATTCCATTAATTGAATCACTTGCAGTTCAAATTTGAGTTATACCAAAAAATTCCTTTAAATGAAATTAATTAATTAAATATAGCAAACAGACCGAGAAATATATCAAATTTTAATATGGAGTACCACATATTGTGTGTAGAGATTAGAAAAAATTTTGAGGGCAGCAGAGGGAAAAAAGTTTAGGCTTTGCCGAGAGCCAACAAAAAACACTCGACAAATATTGTCTTTGCCGAGAGCCAACAAAAAACACTCGGCAAATAATGTCTTTGCCGAGTGTCACTAACGGACACTCGGCAAAGTGCTAACAGCAGGGCGCTCCAGCTGGTGGCCATTGCACGGTCGACGCACGTGCTGCTATTTGGCCGAGTGCCTGATGTTTGCTGAGTGTTTCGTTATTATTTGCCGAGTATTTACTTTAAGGCACTCGATAAAGAGAGTTTTTGCCGAGTGCAATACATTTGCCGAATGTTTCCACGGCGGCACTCGGCACACAGTAGGTTTGCTGAGTGCCCGATAGAATACACTCATAAACCCTTAGGCACTCGGCATACATACTGTTTCCGGTAATGATTGGTGTAGTGGAATCTCGAGGAGGACGTGGAAAGCATCCATCTATCGTAGTTAGTGGAACGATGCGCTTGATTTCTGATGAAAAAAAGGCAGCATAGCAGCTGGTGCGGACCAGTAAGGAGCTGAGATGAGGAGGAGCTACAGATTTTCTGTCACCACACCGGATTTTGACAAATCAGCTGCCAGAAAACCTTGATTGTTCCAAACACATCATTGTTGGCGTGCTATCATGACTCGTGGAATTATGGAATCCTCAGCTTCAAAGCAAGCCAAAATGCTTTCGTGGCGAACTGTACGAAAACAATGACCAGAAATGAGATCAGATCGCATCTCATGCCCCAAATGAAATCATCTCTCTCCTCTGTCCTTTTTCACATGTTCAATTTTTAGTTTTGCTTCCTGCAAAAGAATTTCATTTCTCGTGTTTCCGTTATATACATGCTCAAAAGTCGAAACTTGTTACATAAGCTCAAAATTTGAAGAGAGGTGTCCATGCAAATCGCTGAAATATTTACACTTTGATTTTATCACGCCGAACTGGCAACCTCCAATGGCATTTCTTGATCAATCAAATCAAAACAATAGGAAAGGGGGGGGGGTGACTAGATTTTGTCACCGGACGGTGGAGGCCACGGTGTGCGCCCACATCTAGAGGTGCTCCTTGAGCTGGTTGCCATCACCAGCCGGAGGAATCCGCCAGTTCCGCAGCGCCCTACTGACCTCTTCTTCCTTGTCGTCCCACGCCTCTGAGAGGTACGGCCTCCTGGGCGCCGCCGACGCATCATCGTCGTTGACAGCTTCCGCCGCCCTACGGGACGAAGACGACGTCGCCGTCGCGGGTGCCGATGTCGTGGCCTGGCTGTTCTCCTCCTCGGACCGCTTCCGCTTTAGCAGGCCCGACACGATGGACGCGAGCTCGGCGTCCACCTCAGCGTTAGAGAAGGTGAACCCCAGGTCCTGCAGGCCCTTGACCTCCTCGAACTCCAGCTCCAACATGCTCCGCCCACGCCGCCGCCGCCACCGGCTGCCGAGCTCGGCCAGGCGCCGCGCCTCGAGCCTTCTCCTTTCTGGCAATGGCTACGGCGCGGCCACGACGAGTCCATCCTTGCCCGAGAGTATGGTCTTGAGGTGCGCGCGGTTGTCGCTATCGGGGACCCTCAGCGGCTCCAGGCCCTGGAACACGGCCGCCGTGGCCTCGTTGCTCCATGGCCGCCGGTGCCGCAGCCCACCGCCGGGTGTGGGGCTCAAAGAAGCAGGCCGCTGCGCATGAGGCGTGTGCGTATTGGCCACCTCACGCTCCAGCGGCGCCGCCTGCTGTTGTGACGGTAGAGCTGGTCGAGGAGGTGCCGCCGCCACCGTGGGAGTGGGGGACGGGAGCATCATGAGGCGGCGGAACTAGCAGGCGTCGTATAGCGCCATGGTCTGCTCCGCAGCCGCAGCCACGGCATCAGTAGCTTGTTGCGGTGGTGGCTGGGTTTTATTCAGCGCTCGCGTTGTCGCAGCGGTAGCGCGTTCTCTGGCTCCACGCGCGTACGTTTGCGTCGGTTCGGCCTTCGGGCAAGGTTACGCGGTGGGGAAAGGGTAGTCGCCGGACTCGCTCTGCTCGGGTTGGGTCAGCGGCTCGACGCGCGGGAGCAGGACGCTTCTGCTACTACGACTCGCGTGCTGAGGGCTAGGCGTCATGTCACTTCTCTTTCACAATGGCGCCTCGCCGGCTGTGGATGGGTATCATAGTGCTTTTGCATGCGTATATGCGGATGATATGATAATGATTAAATGAGAAATACTCTCTCACTCGATAGTGCCATGGTTGTGTGTTTGGACACGAGTGTCCACGTGACCACGCCGCACGGTGCGGTTGCGGCGTGAAAAAACGGCGACGTAACCATGGCTTGCTCACCATAAGAATCGGGCAAAAAGCAACAGTTCATATTCACTTGGCCATCGGAGCGAGCGAGACATTTGGGGGAAGGGGGAAGGGGGAAGAGGGTTGAAATGCGGCCTACTAGCAAAAAAGATTGTAATTGTAAACAATCTCATATTTCGCTGGTGAACTTTATGTTACACTTAGATAACAATCACGGGAGGAGGAGATAACAATCACAGAAGGATTGACCATCGGTAGAGGTGAATATACTAGGCACACGCATGGGCTAGAGAAATGTGAGGAGGAAGAGAAGAGGGAGCCAGTGGCCTAAATAGTAAATACTAGCAAATGCTTTATGATTGGTACTGTTTTCAAAATATTCTTTGAACCCCTTCTTTTCAGTGCTAGTAGTCACTCATGAGGAGTATATTTGGTGAAAATAAATGTATTATATTGGACTCACCACAGATGGTGACCGAGGGACCAATGCGCCAAGACTAAGTAGCGTGCAAGGAAACTAGATGTTAGAAAAGAGGAATATAATGCAACCGAGGAAAAAGAAAGAACGATTTACGCACGATGGTTAATGGCATGTGAAAAAAAACCAACCGACACTATCGGAAACAGCAGATTTGCCGAGTACCAAAAGGTTTGCCGAGTGCATTTCATCGGGCACTCGGCAAAAAAGCTGTTTGCCGAGTGCTTCAGAAACGACACTCGGCAAAATAATGGCACTCGGCATACCAATATCTTTGTCGAGTGCTGAAAAAAGACCGCTCGGCAAACTAGGAAAAAACACTCGGCAAAAAACCGTCATGTAGACATCCGTTAGTTAGTGTGCTGGCCGTTAGGAGTTTACCGAGTGTCCGTTAGTGGCACTCGGCAAAGAAGTAAGTTTGCCAAGTGTTTTTCTTTAGCACTCGGCAAAGAAATAATTTTGGTAAGTGTTTTTTTGGCAATCGACAAATAAATAAGTGTTTTTTCTCTTCTGACCTTGAAACTTTTTCTACTATCCACATACAACATGTGGTACTCCATGTTAGGATTTGGTATATTTCTGGATCTGTTTGCTACATTTAATTAATTAATTGTTTTTCAAGGAATTTTTTGGTATAAGTTAAATTTGAACTGCAAGTGATTCAAATAATAGAACAAAATGAGTATAAAAATGATATTCATGTTATTGAGTCCAGTGTAAGGCCTTACTTAGGAAATGAAAAGAAATTTCAAACATCTTGTTCAGAAAACACGACCACGAACGTGTGGCCGAATGATTTTTAAATTCTAAAAAAAGCAAACTAAGTCTAAAAATCATGAGATTTGTTAAGATCTCATGATATCATACGTGGAGGCCATGGTAAAAAAATGAGAAGGTTTCGTACAATCTGTCATGTATGATGTTTACAAAATGAAGTATCTCAAAACAAGAATCGTAGCGTTGAGAAAGATTCGGTATGATTCGGAGTTAAAGTGACGGTCGAATTGGGGTTTGACTTTAAAACTTTTTGTATAGGCAATAGAGAACATAGATTGATTCACGTTTAATTTTGGTAATTTTTTGGATCCGTTTGATAATTTTAATTTATTAGGCAATTATAGAATTTTAATTAATATACATTGAATTTGAGCTATAACTGCATAAAATAATAAGTTTTTTCTCTTTCGGTCTTAAAACTTTTTCTACTCTCTACATACAATATGTGGTACTCCATGTTAAGATTTGGTATATTTCTGAATCTATTTGCTATATTTAATTAATTTATTACTTTTCAAGAATTTTTTTGGTATAAGTCAAATTTGAACAGCAAGTTATTCAAATAATATAATAAAATGAGTAGAAAAATGATATTTATGTTATTGAGTCCAGTGTGAGGCCTTACTCGGGAAATAAAAAGAAATTTCGAACATCTTGTTTAGGAAACACGACCACGAACGTGTGGTGAATAGTTTTTAAATTCTAAAAAAAGCAAACGAAATATGAAAATCTTGAGATTTGTCAATATCTCATGATATCATACGTGGAGTCTGTGGTAAAAAATTGAAAAGGTTTTGCACAATCTGTCATGTACGATGTTTATAAATCAAAGTATCTTAGAAGAAGAATCGTACTGTTGAGAAGGACTAGGTAAGATTTGGAGTCAAAGTGACGATTGAATTAGGGTTTGACTTCAAAACTTTTTTATAGGAAATAGAGAACATAGTTTGATTCATGTGTAATTTTGGTAATTTTTTGGATCCGTTTGATAATTTTAATTTATTAAGTGTAATTATAGAATTTTAATTGATATGCATTGAATTTGAGCTATAACTGTAGGAAATAATAAGTTTTTTTCGCTTCTAACCTTGAAACTTTTTCTACTATTCACATACAACATGTGGTACTACATGTTAAGATTTGGTATCTTTCTGGATCTGTTTGCTATATTTAATTAATTTATTATTTTTCAATGAATTTTTTGGTATACATCAAATTTGAACTGCTAGTGATTCAAATAATAGAATAAAATGAGTATAAAAATGATATTCATATTATTGAGTCGGTGTGAGGCCTTATCTAGGAAATGAAAAAAAATTCGAACATCTTGTCCAGGAAACATGACCACGAACGTGTGATCGAATAATTTTTAAATTCTAAAAAAAGCAAACGAAGTCTAAAAATCATGAGATTTGTTAAGATCTCATGATATCATATGTGGAGGTCGTGGTAAAAAATGAGAAGGTTTTGCACAATTGGTCACGTATGATGTTTACAAAATCAAGTATCTCAGAAGAAGAATCGTAGCGTTGAGAAAGATTCGGTAAAATTTAGAGTCAAAGTGATGGTCAAATTGGGGTTTGACTTCAAAACTTTTTGTATAGGCAATAAAGAACATAGATTGATTCATGTGCAATTTTAGTAATTTTTTGGATCCGTTTGATAATTTTAATTTATTAAGTGCAATTATAGAATTTTTATTGATATACATTGAATTTGAGCTATAACTTTTTGAAATAATAAGTTTTTTTTTCTTCTGGCCTTAAAACTTTTTCTACTCTTTACATATAACATGTGGTACTCCATGTTAAGATTTGGTATATTACTGGATCCGTTTGCTATATTTAATTAATTTATTGTTTTTAAGGAATTTTTTGGTATAAGTCAAATTTAAACTGCAAGTGATTCAAATAATAGAATAAAATGAGTACAAAAATAATATTTATGCTATTGAGTCTAGTGTGAGGCTTTACTCATAAAATGAAAAGAAATTTTGAACATCTTGTTCAGGAAACACGACCATGAACATGTGGCCGAATGGTTTTTAAATTCTAAAAAAAACAAACGAAATCTGAAAATCATGAGATTTGTCAAGATCTCATGATATCATACGTGGAGTCTGGTAAAAAATTAAAAAAGTTTTACGCAATCTATCATGTACGATGTTTACAAACCGAAGTATCTTAGAAGAAGAATCGTAGCGTTGAGCAGGATTCGGTAAGATTTGGAAGTCAAAGTGATGATGGAATTGTGGTTTGACTTCAAAACTTTTTGTATAGAAAATAGAGAATATAGATTGGTTCATGTGTAATTTTGGTAATTTTTTGGATCCGTTTGATAATTCTAATTTATTAAGTGCATTTATAGAATTTTAATTGATATCCATTAAATTTGAGCTATAACTGCAGGAAATAATAAGTTTTTTCTCTTCTAATATTGAAACTTTTTTTACTGTCCACATACAATATGTGGTACTCCAAGTTAAGATTTGGTATATTTCTATATCTGTTTGCTATATTTAATTAATTTATTGTATTTCAAGGAATTTTTTTAGTATAGGTCAAATTTGAACTGCAAGTGATTCAAATAATAGAATAAAATGAGTAGAAAAATGATATTTATGTTATTGAGTTTGGTGTGAGGCCTTACCTTAGAAATAAAAAAATTCGAATATCTTATTCAGGAAATACGACCACGAACGTGTGGCCGAATGGTTTTTAAATTTAAAAAAAGCAAACGAAGTCTAAAAATCATGAGATTTGTCAAGGTCTCATGATATCATATGTGGAGTCTGTGGTAAAAAATTGAAAAGGTTTTGCACAATCTATCATATACGATATTTACAAACCGAAGTATCTCAGAAGAAGAATCATAGCGTTGAGAAGGATTCGGTAAGATTTAGAGTCAAAGTGACAATCGAATTGGGGTTTGACTTCAAAATATTTTGTATAGGCAATATAGAACATAGATTGATTCATGTGTAATTTTGGTAATTTTTTGGATCCGTTTGATAATTTTAATTTATTAAGTGCAATTATAGAATTTTAATTGATACACATTGAATTTGAACTATAACTGTATGAAATAATAAGTTTTGTTTTCTCTTCTGACCTTGAAACTTTTTCTACTATCCACATACAACATGTGGTACTCCATTTTAAGATTTGGTATATTTCTGGATCTGTTTGCTATATTTAATTAGTTTATTTCATTTCAAGGAATTTTTTTGGTATAAGTCAAATTTGAACTGCAAGTGATTCA